GATTGCTATGAAGAAGGACCAAAGGATTCAATGGAAAATGGTGGCAACGGAGGAAGGCCACCTGAGAATGGGCTTGAATGCAACGCTACTGCATGTAATGTTGTTGCCAATAGAGAGCAGGTTCTCCAACCAGTGACAAAGCTTGATTGCAGCACTATTGAACCTAATGTTGATGGTAGGAATATCGATGCAAATAGTGAAGGTGATCACCATGTAGTGGAAGATGGTGGAAATGGTAGTGAATATGCAATTAGAGGAGGAGAACAAAACATAAAAGGCAGTGAACCTGTGGAGTTCTTTGTATCCACAATGATTCATGATAGATGTGGTGCCAATAACACAGGTGAAAAGGCGGTTGAGGATAAGGGTGATTGCAGCGACAATGCACAAGATGTTATTGACTATGGAAAACATGTTCACAAAGCTAATCCAATAACAAAGCTTGAGGGCAGTCGCTCATCCACTAAGACTGCGATTCAGAGCAGGAATGGTGCAAATAGTGAAAGTGATGGTCTTGAACGAGTACAACATGTTGTGATGGAAGATGGTGGCTATGGAAATGGTAGCAAAAGTGCAACTAGAGGAGAAAACCAAAGTAAACAAGGAAAACAATCGGTGGAGCACGTTGCATCCACAATGATTCATGATGGATGTAGTGCCAACAACATATGTGAAAAGGTGTCAAAGGGTAGGCTTTATTGTAGAGCTAATGCACATGGTGCTGTCGGTGATGAAATACAATGGAGCCAAACAGAGCGACTAACAGATCTTGAGGGGAGTGGCAGTCACTTACCATTTAATACTACTGTTGAGAGTAAAAATGATGCATATAGTGAAGGTGATGGCGATGAGCAAGAAAAACATGTTCCAATGGAAGATGGTGGTGATGGACGTGGTACTAGAAACGCGTATGGAGGAGAAAATCAAAGGAAAAAAGGAAAACAACTAGTGAAGTCTGTTGTATCCACAATGGTTCATGATGGGTACATTGCTAGTAACATAGGTGAAAAGGGACATGCAGGTGGTGCTGTTGTTGGTGATGGAAAGCCTAAACGCCAAGTTGACCCTACCTCTTCTATTGATCTTATTGTTGAGAGAGAGGGTGATGCACATGTTCCATTCAACGGTCTGGGTGGTGGAAATGACAACATACTTGCACCAAGAGGAAGTGTACCTAGTGGTATTGCTAGTAGTTGTGCTAATCGGTTGGCTCAAGGTGATAGTCACAGGCAAATGCAACATGATCCAATGACAATCATTGAAGGTAGAAAGCAAGATCGAAGCAACCATGAATTAGGTGAGTTAATACAAGATGGAAGTGATGGCAATGAAAGTAGGAATCAAGCTAGAAAGAAATTCAAATATGGAAGGGACAAAATTAGTGAAAGTAGTTATGCTCTAGGTCCTCGTGGTGGTATTCATTATGATGAACAACTTTCACTATTGCAACATGGTAATCATACATTTAGGTTATTTGGTATTGACATTCCTTATGAAGAAGAACATCTTTTTGCTATAAATACCAAATATGATGGGCGAAGCAGCAGCAACCCTGCACCACAGGTTGTTGTTAGTGATGGCTCATCACCAATGCAACAACCTATCTTTGGGTTTCAGTTATTTGGCGTTGACATCCCTGTAGGACAAATGCCACCAGTTGCAATGGAAATCGAAGATGGAGGAAATAGCAACAACCTTGTAGCAGGCAGTAATGGTGGTCATGGTAGTGGTGAGTCATCGATGCAGCATCGTCCTAAAGCTGGATTCAGGCTCTTTGGTTTCGACATTTAGAGTTAATTTTTCATATGGGTGTGAGAATTGAGATCATGACACATATGCAAGAACTAGAGGTGACTGTTTTTCATTTTCTAGAATCAATTTTTCTTATTGATTCTCATTAGTGGTTGTTGTATTATTCTCATGGGCTCATGTTATATGTTTGTGGTTTTTAAAGTTAGACTTAATTATGCATATCTACATCAATTCTCATGTTATTACCCACATTTTTTCATAAACGATATATGAAAATTTTTATTATTGTAAGATCGATTATCATAATCAGCTTATTAGACCAGATTGCAAGTAGTGCTTTGAGGGTTTTTTCAAGTTGTGTGACTTGAAATGAAGTGTAGATCGGCCAAAGTTTATGTGGCCTGGATTTAACTTAGAATTACCTCGTAAGTGCTTTTTTAATTTGCTATAAACTTTTTAAAAAGTCTTCAAATAGCCATTGCACGGTTTATGATCATAGAAAAATAAAGATGATGCATCTTTCAAAGAAAAATGAAATCGGTTGGAGAAGAGAAACCTAAAGCTACGTAATTTGAGGGATAAGATTTAGGGTTTAAAAAAACATGTGAATTAGGTAATAAAATCAATTAAATATTTTGATTAGTTGTCAATAAACCAAATTAATAAATAAAATTAATTATATCAAATGTTTGGTTTAAAATGGATCTCATTAATCTCACAAAAATAGGAGTTCTTAAATTATTAAGCCCCTATATATATGGATTTGGTTTGATATTTAAATTTACGTAATATATAATTATAGTTATAGGTATATTTATGTTATTATATTATGAAATAGGTCCATAAAAGGGCAATAAAATGGAAGAACAAAGTTTATCTTTTTTATGAGGATCTTTGTATTGTATTTGGAAAAGATCGGGCTCAAGGAAATATAGCAAGAGATTTTGTCGAGGCGGAAGATGAGGTGAATATAGAAGATCAAACACAACACATGTATGGCGAGTCTTATGACGTGATGACAACTAGCAATATTCAAGGTGACAATGTAAATTTGCAATATGAATAAACTTCGAGTGGGCGTGGTAAGAAGAGAAAATGTTAAGTAGATCCTACGGCTGATGGATTCAATAATGTGGTTACTAAACTTGGAGAAAGTCTGAAGAAAATGACGAACAAACTTAACAAGAGTATCAAACGAGAAGAAGAACTTGATAAGAAATGTTTGATGATAAGTAATTTCGATGATAAAAGACGATCTTGAAAAGGTGAACATGTTTTAGGACTTGCAAGAAGCAGATAGGGAAACTTAAGTGAATTGGGTTTTGAAAGAATGAAAAGTTTTGGTGGTTAAATATGTGGTTTTGGAAGAACAATTTGTTGGTTAGATATGTATTTTGGATAAACGAGTTTGGTGGTTAAATATGGAACAAAGAACTAAATGATTAAATATATAGTTTTGGAACTATGAATCAGATGATTAAATATGTAGTTTTAGAACAATGAATTAGATGATTAAAATACGTGGTTTTGGAAAAATGAAAGAGATTTAATGATTAAATATATAGTTTCCGGGAAATTGATAACAAAAAAGTAATTTATCAATAAATAAAATTCTTTATAAAAACAAACAAAAAATTACAAGAAAATAAAAATAAATCTCAATTCAAATCTTACAAACCAAACATGATTTATAAAAAAAATGGATTTCCAATCCATTCCAAATCCTACAAACCAAGCATAATAAAAAATTCAAAAATACAATCTGATTCGACCTAAATTCTTCCATGAAATCCAAATCCTTCAAAAACAATCATGAAAATCGAAAGCACCTTAAATATTTAAATTAATTACTATGAGCAATCAAATGAAAACCACCATCATTTGTACAAACCGTACAAACCACCATCATACATCGATTTCATTGTTTAATCTTATGAAATTTTTTCATGAAATTGTTTAATCTTGTGAAATTGTTTCATATAATACTTTTTTGATGAATTTGTTTCATATATGGTTTTGAAATTGTTTCATATAATATTTAATGAAACTGTTTCATGTATTTTTCTATAATTAAAATAATGAAGATGATAATATCCATGATTAATATCCTTCACAATAAAAATGATTAATCAACCTCTCATAATTATAAAAAAAAATAAACAAAATGAAAAATTATGGTTGGTTGAATGTGGTTTTTACGGTTTGTATAAATTGGATGATTTTTATTTAAACGCTTATATATATATATATATATATATATATATATATATGAACGCTCATCTCTCTCTCTCTATATATATATACATATTTTACAATTAATAAATCTCATCTAAAATAAATAAAAAATCTCATTTTTTAACAACCCTTTTTAAAAAAGGACTCAACAGCGTTAATTCATTAATTATAAAATTAAGGGAGTGTTTAGAATTGCTTATTTTAGATTTTTTTTGACTTATTTCAGTTTGATATCGGTGATAAGCTAAATGTTAGTGTTTGGATGAGAAAGAATAAAACTGTTTATACCAATGTCAAACCGGTAATAAGCAGTTTTTGATAAGTTAATTTTTCTTGACTTATAAAAAACTGTTTTACCAGTTTAACATTTTAACCATGTTCTATTAATGTTTGTTAATTATTAATCTTATTGATATAAATTTTTGTTAAAGATATTATTATAAATAATGACAAATAAATTTTACATGTTAAAAAATAAAATAAGTTAATAAGCAATATCAAACACTCTCAAAAATCAATAATATGGAAAACTGTCATCTTTGATCATTTTACATATATAAGCAAAATTTGTCAAACACTAAAAATACAATTATCAACTTATTATTTTTTGGTACCGTTATAAATTAATCCAAACACTTTTTACAAAACTCTGATATAACACCCTTAAGTTAATAAACACTTAAAAAAACATAAATTATTTTAAATAAGAAAATCCCAAACACCCAAAAACATAAGTTCTTTCGACGGCCATTGATCCCCAATTCCCAGACTGGAATCTCTGCAACTGATCTCCTCCCTCGTTCACTGCGGCGGTAGTCGGTACTTCACTCCTCCTCCTCCTCCTCCCTGTTAATCAGGATGAAGAAATCGGATAAGTCTAAGGCACCAGTATTATGAAAATGACGAAGAGAAAGTGTAGGGTTTGGTGGCCTGCTCATCTCTCTTCAGCAACCCAACCACAGTCTTCAACTTTCTTGTTTGGTTGGTTTGTTTCCTCGTCTTCTTCGTCCTCTGCTTCTGTTCCTCTCGAAATTATCGTAGCATTTTCAATCGATGAAGCCGCCTACTCTTCTATCGGATCCGATCTTGAGGTATCAAAACTTTTCAACTTTTTTTTTGTTGAGAATTCTCCTCTACAGTGCTAGGATTGCATTTTTTATATAAACAGAGCTATCCACAATGATTCGTTTTCTCAGTTGTAGTGTGAAGGATTAAGTCGAGGAACCCACTTTACTGACGAAAATGGCATTGCTTAACAGTTCTGGAATTCTCACATAAATTAGGCCATATAGATCCTTCTTTGGGCATGTAATGGATCGTTTTGTTAATTGCAATTGTCAAGGAGTATTGCTAATTTCTCTTATCACATTAATTGCGTTCTTATAGTTCTTTAAAATGCAGCCAATGGTTATTGGTCCAGAGAACAAATATGGATGCCTTGTGGAGGTGGAATTTTTTTAATTAACATAGTTTCATGAATTTGCAATTGATAAGAGATGGGCAAAAGATGTCTGAAAGGACAGATAATGAGTTTGTATGTTTGGTTGATGACTATGATGCCAGGGACTCCATTGGTGGATGACATATTGCTATAGTAGCCATGAGAAGGAGGGAATTTGGGTTTGGAAACCGTCTATATTCCCTAGGGCAGTGTTATATTCATATCTAGGTATTCATTTGAATTATGCTATAAAAGTTATTTAAATCTAGTCAATTACCAAGTAAACAAAATTGTAACATTAGCAATTACCAAAGACCAACTTTCTATCAAGAATTCATACTCACCACACAACCACCATAATTTCTAATTAAGAAATCCTATGTGTCACTTAAAAAATCCATAATAAATTACCGTTTAAAAATACATGAAATCTGTTTGCAAATCGAGCATTATATGCAAGGATTTCTCTTTGCCTATACTCGATATGTTTAATTCTTCAACTCTTGTGACATGCAACTTTAGTAAACAGACAGTACATTTAAACAAGGGAATCCCAGAAATATGTTTCCACCTTCTTAGTAATAGTGGTTGAGCTAGCACAGTGGGAACGCGATAATAGAATCAAGTATTGGACATAGAATCAATAACTCTGCTCTAATATCTAATTTTGATGCAATTTCAGATGGATGAATAAATATAACTTGTCCAGCTTAAATTGCACTCGATTATGCTTGTTGTTTGTCCAGTATTAAGCTGATGCTGAAACAATTTCTACCATCCTTTCTTGATCAGGGTATACTTCAAAAAATAAATAAAAAAATGCCGGCATGTTTACAAAATAGATTTGGGCTTTCCATGCTTGGTTATTGCGCAGCAGATTCTACCAGCAACGGTGACCTGCATTTGCATAGTGAAGCAGCTGAACAAAATAGCCAAGTCAGTTGCTTGCCTGGTAATTTGGGTCAACACACTGAACAAAATATATCAAAAGATAGAAGGGAACACTGGACCTGCGGATGCCATAAGGTTAATGGATTGCAAGAACAATTTAGAAGATGTACAGAAAGCAATCCAGTCCAACTCGTATATGGTTCTTATATCTGCTCCAGTAGAAAATTGGGCTGGATTCCTAAATTACATCACATGCATTGGGATGGGCAAGTTGTTTCCCATCTTGATCGCCACGTATGTAAGTCATGAAGACCTTAACTGCATGTGATCATGCATGCTTTACACAGACCCCATCATCATGAATGTGTTGGTAACTTAATATTTTCTATTTATTTTCTGAACCAGATAGTAATCTATGGAACTCCTAGATTTGGTGGTCACCATTTCTCCTTGGGTTCCCAACATATTGAGCAGCCTAGAACTTTTTCAAGGAAGCCTAAGTGGGTGGAAGACCTCGTCCAAAAGAAATCCGTTCTTGACTTGGTAAATATAACAGTTGGTCCATTTGTTTTGGTTTCTGTATGCTTTCGCATTTTGCCTAATTTTCAATGTGTTGCCTGGATTCTGAGTACAGGATGCTGTTATTCTTGCCATCAATTGTGCTTCTGCTGCCACCTCATTCTTTGAAGAACAAGTGTTGCCTGACAGACCTGCACTCTGGTTTCATGATGTGTGCATGTAATCTCTTTACTCTGGTATCACCCACCCCCGTTCCCGATTTTCCCTTTTTAATTGCTCTTGTTAACTTGAAGGTCTTCTATGTTCTGATTTTCAGGTTTGTCACTTCGATATGGCAACTGTTGGCTGTGTTTGTTGCTTCAGTATCCACATTCATATATATAATTCTACAGCTGCTCCACTTCTTTTTTAGTTATGGATCAGAGTCTTGTATATATGCCAAATTAGAAACTTTATTCATTCACACCTGGAGGAACATCCGTGTTCGGTGTTGTCAAATCTTGTACTGGCCAATCTTCCTTCACAACAATGATTCCAGGTAATGAAGTGTTTCCTTCTGGAATGTGGTCCCTGTTGTGGTTTGCTGATGAAGTAGCAATTGTTATTACTATATACATTCTATTTCAAGTTGTTTTGGCATCTTCACAATTGCTTTAAGCATGCTATGATACTTTAACAATTTGTTCTATTTCTACCTGACAACTTTGTGATGTCTATTTTCTGCTTTGCCCATGCACAATTTTCAAGAGGATAATATGAAATGGTTGTCAAGCATTCTTATATGTTTTCACCTCAGGAGTTTGACATGAATTTAACCAACAAATATGTATTAGCAATACCTCATACGGGACCCCCTTGCAATGCATGTGGATCTTCAAACACTCCAAACCATAATGAAATAACACAATTTTAAGGCGCTGTAAGATTTTGTGAGGATTAGTGACCAGGTGGATATGGGGCTCTTAATTATTCCCCATATCCGCCTCCATACCTGACTCACACCTGCTTCCCTCTTAATCTGTATACACCGCACCTCCGATTACCTCACCCCCATATCCGCCCTTACCCTACTGGTTTTCGTCTTAGTTAATTTTTAACACACTTCATTTTATATACAAAATGCACTATATGATTATAGATGTAAAACAATAATGATCAGAGCTAAAAGATAAAAAGAGTAAGAAAAACAACAAAATGATTACCAAATACATGTGTTGTATTTTTTGCGCACACACATATATATGTAGTCATATAGATGTACATACCCACATATACACTCATACATACATGGAGATAGGGTCTGAGCTACAGTGGTGTCCACCCCAATTTTGAATCAGGTATTAAAAATCACCCCATTTCTGCACTTCGCCGTTTTCTAACACGCCATAACTGCCCTACATGGGGCAGGGTGGGACGAGGCCTAGCAAAAACCCAACCTATTGCCATCCTTAATTTTTTTACTATTGTGGTTTACTTATAGAAACTTCCATTTGTTGACAATGAGAGGGGTTGCTTTATACGTTTTAGTCCGCTAAATGTTGTATTTTTTTCTTCTTTTAGAATGCTGGTCGTCCTTTATTATTGTTCTTGTTTACAAGGTTTATAATATTTATACTCATTATCTGTATGCTATTGATTTGTAAGGTCTAAATCATGTGTGGAGTATGCAGAGAAAGCTTCACTGTGCAAACATTCCATGTGGTTGAGTGTGGTTATTGATGTGATTTTGGGGAACCTGCTTGGCCTTGCATTGCTGATTCATGCAGATTCTGCTTGTTTGTGGATTTCAGCCATCGCTAGTGATGTTACAAACAACTGGTGGCTCATAAGTTGTGCACGGTTAATGGGAAACCCTGCTGGTTTCAAGTTGAACACTGAGCTCGCAGGACTTCTTGGCACTCTCTCCCTTAATGCAATTCAAATTTGGTCTACATTATGGGGCTCTTTGCATATTTTATTTATTCTTTTCATTAAAGGGCTGGCTATATCTGGGGTTCTTTTTGGCTTGACAATCCCCGCGGCATTGACAGTAGATGTGATTACTATCTCAACAACTCATATTTCAACTCTGCATTGGTCAATATCCCTCCTGTATTCAAGACAGATACAGGCAACAACAGCATTGTGGCGTCTTTTCAGGTATAGAAAGTTTCTATTTTCAAATGAAGCAACTATACATGGGTGAATATCAAGTCTTCGTGGTAGACCCGTTGACTATGTACAAAAGCATACATCATGATTTTGGACATATATGCGGAGCAGTGCCTGCCATTTCATCCTTTATTTTGTTGCATGTTTAGCTTCGAGATCATGGCCTTTTGAACTATGGAAGCCACTAGTAAATCATATTAGGAAGAATCGAGCTACAGCTCTTCCAATGCCTCCTAAAGCTTTTTCTCATCAGAAATATTTGAAGAACTAAAAGGTAACTAGGAACAAAACAGTATAATATAAGAAACCTGTTTGGGAGCAGGAAGTTGGTTACTATAGATGTGAGAGAAGTACAATAAAGATGCCTATTGTTCATGGGAATGTTCATTCCTGCAAAACTTCATATTTGTGGAAGGAGCATTCTGCATATTTCTGCATCAAATAAACCTTGCCTGATGCTTCAACTAGAACTTAAGATTGCATTAGTTGACAAGCATTTGACGTCACAAATCATGAAAATTTTGATTTTTATATCGCTGCATCTGTTGAGTGTTGAAATAGCTACTGTCAAATAGATAGAGTAAGCACAACTAGGTGGCCAACCAGGACGAATTTTATGCAAGAATTAAGATTAAGCTCATACAAGTAAGTTCTTATTGGAGCTTACCCTGAATAGAGAAATCCGTGTACGAATGATATTCTTTGTTTAGTTCTTTATCATTCTTTATCATAACAAGTTGCTTAGTAACAAAATAAAAAAAAAAGAAGAAAATCAGAAGAATTTGCAAAAAGCTAACAGAATGGGTAAAGAAAGGGTAAGATTACTTGTACTTGTCATGCTATTGCAACATTATGTTGCTTGTAATGTTTTGATTTCTTTCCAGAGCATTTTATACTTTTAAGGGCTCTGAATTCTTTCGTTCTTTAAATTGGTTGCAGGGGTCAGAAATGGAACCCTCTTCGACAGAGGTTAGATAGCTACGATTACACGGTGGAACAGCACGTTGTTGGCTCCCTCTTGTTTACTCCACTTCTGCTTCTGCTACCAACTACTTCAGCTTTCTATATGTCCTTCACTATTATGAAGATGACCATTGGCTTTATATGCATGCTTATTGAGTTTGCCATATCTGTAATCCATGCTACACCCTACACCAAAATCTTCCTTTGGTTGCTGAGGCCAAGCAGATTTCCATGTGGGATTTGGTTTGAGATATTTTCTATTGAGAGCCATGCTATCGAGGTGGTACGAGAAAGAAATAGTTTCACGGGAAGTCAATCAGATGTTCTGGTGTCATCTCTCCATAGTTATTCTTATAATATAGGTAACATCTATATCTTCTTTGGTTCTTTACCAGTATAATCATGTTTTTAATATGAAGTGGCTTAAAAAGTAGCACCTCACTTATTGACATGATAGTTAAGTGCTCATCCTCAGTTTCTAAAGTTCTTATGAAAACATGTGGGAGAATAGGAACACAATCACTCTAACTGTTGTACTATAATTTGCGACAGGTGATATCTGTTAAACTTGTGCATGCTTCAGTTACTTGTGCTGTGTGCAGTTCCTAACTATATCTTGCATTTTGTCGTATAATGTCACCAGGATCTGAAGTGCATGTTAATTTTGTCTACATTCTTCTATAAGATTTGTATCTACTCTTTTAGTTACTACAAAGAAGAAATAGGTACTTTTAGCTTGAAACTTTGCCAATGGGACATCAGGAATCAGGATTTGGTTCACATTTCAAACCTTCTATTAGTTCTTTTTTGTACTTCATATGTTTTGCACTCTGCATTTGCTGTGAATATCCAGTCAGAGGTGTAAAAAAGGTGTCATGTATCATCTGTATGCAATATCTATCTTTCCCTTGATCATTATGACTTTTAACCTGCATGAAGTTGATTCTTGTATATCTTTGTCGATAATTTGTGTAGCATATGTGTGTGGATAATGTGTTTTCCTCTAGATCTTTAACCTATTGTCAGCATCGTGGGAATGGTATTGGTGCATACTTATATGAACTTCTTCGTTACCCAGGAGAATTGATGCAACCGCACTTTAGATACCTACATTCTGCTGTTTCTAGATCATCGATTACTTCATCAGTCTATGGAGTTTTCAGTGGAAGGTGAGTTTATACTCTTCTCTCTCTCTCTCTCTTTATATATATATATATATATAGTTTTTTCTTCAAACTGACTGGTTTTAGTTACTTGCACAGTTTGGCTTCTCCACTATACAATCTTCCATTTGCTCCTGGTGCTGGACTGCCTCCAAAGATGCCATGGATGTCCATCCCATTCAAGGATTATTGGATCCTTTGTCATGATGCTGTTTTTGCATGTAACCCAGTTTCACACACCCACTAAACTAAATGATGATCAGGAGTTGTATATTTTTCTTGGGATTTACCATTAATTAAGAGATAGCTAGCTATTTATCCATCACTGCTTTAGGTTTAACTTTGAGGAATGATATCTGATGTCCAGATTATGTAATATTGGCTATGTTAAATACTCCACCTACAGTTGTTACTTCTGCTTACATGTAATTCTGGTCATAGAATTACCATTTATTGTGTAATACTGGCATATGTTAAATACTAGACCTACAGCTGTTACTTCTGCTTATATGTAATCTGGTCATAGAATTACCATTTTGCCCCTTTTAACGGTCAAGAAACAGTCAGTTTTTGGGTGTTTCGGTCCAACATTCTTTTATGAATGCAAAAGTGTTTTTGGGGTGTTTTGACTTCACCTTGATCGATCATAATTACAGCTTGGATCCGGGAATTGTTCATAATGACATGTGAATGTATAGAATGTGTCACAGTATATGGTACATTTTCACAGTATGGTTCCCTAACTTAAAGAACCACTAATTTACAAAGTACAACAAACAAACAAAAAAACCATTATATTCATAGATGAATAAGCCCATACCTTAATCCTCTGCAACACCATACTCTGCAAGGATTGTTCGTAAAAATTTATCAGGAATAATACCATCTTTAACCATTCGGCCATACAACACCATGGCATCGCCTAATCGTCCAACCTTACAGTAACCATGAATCATAATCCCATAAGTAATCACATCAGGCAACAAATTCCTTCCTAAAACATCCCAGAACACCATTGATGCTTCCTCCATTAATCCCCTTTTGCAGAGACCATCCATCAGGATACTGTAGCTCACAATATTTGGGCCTAATTCGTTCCTCACCATCTTTTCATGTAACTCGAGACCACTTTTCATTTTCCAAGTCTTAAAATGGCCGTCAATTAGACTACTGTAAGTAACCACACTTGGTTCTAAACCTTTTTCTAACATAAGTGAGAATATCGCCATTGCATCTTCTACTTTACCTTCTTTGCAGTATGCATCAATCAAGATCGTGTGAGTGATGGCGTTTGGTTGCTTTTGCTGGAGATGCGCCTCTTTGTAAAGTTGAACGGCTTCGTTCAACTTTTTTAAAGAACAGTAGCCGCTGATCATCGTGTTGTAGGTCACAATATCAGGTTCAGGTCCATACTTCTGAACGTGCCTGAAAAGCTCCAACGCCTTTTCTAATTGACCGTTTCTGAGAAAAGCGTTTATCAGAACATTGTGGATGTCAATATCAGGCTGTACTCCGTTTTCAAGCATGAGTTCAAGAAACCATAACCCGATGGTAACATTCTTTTCTTTACAAAATCCGTCTATAAGGGTGCAATATGTAACACAATCCGGAAAGAAACCCTTCTTCAAGGCTCGAAAGAACAAAATCAAAGCTGCGGGTAACCTTCTTGTTTCAATGATTGCTTTGATCAGTATCGTGTAAGTAACTATGTCGGGTTCTAATCCATATGTACCCATCTGAATGTATAACTTCACAGCATCCTTCATTAGCTTCAATTTACATAAACCATCAATCAAAGTGTTGTAAGCAACTATACTAGGTCGTACATCACTGTTTAAGGACTGATAAAAGAATCGAATAGCATCATCCATCTTACCTTGTTCCGTAAGACCATTTATAAGCACACTATAAACCGCTGCATCTGGAGTATGACCATAAGTTACCATTTCATCATATAACCGGAACCCATATCTTAAACTCCCAGATTTGCAAATGCCATCAATAAGACTGCTATAAACTAGGACCGATGGCTTGAGACCCTGTTTCAGAACTTGACCAAAGATGCCGATAGCCTCATGAACCCTCCCTTTTTGACAAAACCCGTTTATAAGTATGCCATATGTAACTATGCTCGGCTTTATCCCTCCCTTAAGCATCTTTCTGTATACTTCAAAACCCTTTTCTAGATTTCCCTGTTTTACATATGCATCTACCATAGAACTAAGAACCACCACATCCAAAATGATGCCTTTATCTAATGCAACCATGATTACTTGATGCCCTTCCTCTAGCTTGCCAGCCTGAAAAAGACCGTGAACCAAAATACTATATATAACTAGATCAGGAGCAATTCCTATTACCAGCATCAGATCATAAAGTTGAAAGGCTTCTTCCAGTTTTCTTTCCTTGCAATATGCTTTGATTAACGTGCTAAATGTTACCACCGTCGGGATTGGACCTACCTCTATCATCAAAGATAAGAAGCCATGTGCGATATCTGAACACTTGTCATTGCAAAGACCCTTCATGATCTTATTACAAGTAACTACATTAGGCGCAAGCCCTCTTTCAATAACAGCTCTATGGAACTCAAACCCGAAACTTGCCTCACCTTTCTTGAAGAAACCACCCATTACATACCCATATATATTCGAACACAAATCCTTGTTTTCTTTAGGATCATTACCTATTTCATGGTACACATTGATCATGACATCAATCCTCTTCAAATCAACTAAACAACTCAACATTCTCATCAGTGCATATGGTGAGATAGAAATATTAGTTCTTGACATCCTAAAGAACACCCCAACCACCTGATCAATCATCCCAATTCGACAATAATTATCGATCAAGAAGCTGTAAACGGTACTAGCATTCGAATGATAATTCCCAAGACCAACGTGAAAAGAATCAAAACAATCAAAATCCCCAAACCTTTCGGTCATTTTATCAAACACCTTCCGGGCATCATCGAACATTCGCTTTTCTAGCAGCAAATGAATAAGCCCACAGAAAGATTCAAGCTTAAGATTATGGAACCCTAGATTACGCTCAGACCACTCAAAGAACCTAATTGCCAAAGCGGGTTTTGCACGTAGACCAAAAAGAATAGGCTCGACTTGATGGGGTTTCAAATTAGAGATAAAAGAATGGTTTAACAAGTGGAGGTGATTATGGTCTTTTTGTTGAAGTGATGTTATTATTTGATCAAGTGATGATGTAGAATATGATGAAAATGCAAAGGAATTGAAGGACGAGATGAATTTAAGGAGATGGGGGAGAATTACCTTGGAGCAAGATGACGATGATGAGAGAGAAGATGCAGAAAAGAGCATTATATGTTTGAAATTTGGGAAGAAGAAGAAGAAGAAGATAGTTCCATACAGGTGTGTCTGTGTGTGTTTTCAGAGGTTTATCGTCAGGGTTTTATTGTCTGCCTTTTCTGTATATATTTTGTACACCTCCTTTCCAAAATAAATCAATGAAACTTTTTTGTGTTTTTGGGTTGCCTTGGTCAGATGAAAGCCATTTGAACAACTCAACCTTATGTTTACATTTTGAGAAATCTTAACCCAAATTAATCCAAACCGGTTGGATTGATTGGGTTTGTCAAATTGGTCTGGTTGATACTTTATCTTTAGTAAATTAAAATATTCTTCTACCTTTAGATATGTTATTTCTTTACTCATAATTTTTTTCATCAATCATTTTATACAACTTATATATACTTCTTAAATCTTACGTATATCACATTTACTTAATTTTCTCTATTTACATATATATGTTCACAGCTATTGAACATATATACGAATGAATTACATATAGATGTAGAATAGATTGAAAATATGTGTAAGAATGTACGTGATAGTGTAATTGTCTAATATACATATTAATAGAAACTCAACAGTCATATTAAAATCCAAGAAATAAAAGGATATTGGGTTCATCGGGCTGGGTTGTGTTCAAATAATAGTAACCTAATATCAACTCAATACATACGGTTTAAAAATTTTACAACTCGATTAGACATTGGATTGCTTTGGGTTGAATTATTTCGTGTCAGATTGAGTTGGGTTGGTCGGATTTTTAAACACCCCTACTTACAATGGAATACAAACTTTTTTTCAACTAAAATAATAACCTAGACATTTAAGGCTTGTTTGTTTTTTCAAAATTATCTTTTAACATCTCTGAAGTCTGATTTATATATTGAGTATTTTGAGCTTTTGTTTTTTGTTTTAATAAGAACTTTAAATGTCCTTTGAGATTTCAAATGGTTCATATTTTGGGAGCTTAAAAAGACTTGTTAGCAAAAACTATTTATTTTTTATAATTTTATAGAAAAATATATTTTATATTTTTACACTAGTTTATTCGATTTAGATTTCAGAATTCAGGAGTAAAAATAAACAGTCTTACTAATTCGGATATTTTTCCAATTAACTTTTGAGCAATATTTTTTAGATAATTTTATAGTTTATCAACTGGTTTTTATGGGAATTAAATTTATCAACACACAAGTAAGGTTGAATGTAGAGAACCGCGGGAAAGCAAGGTGAGCTTTCAGGAAGAAGATCGAATGATTCATCACAGTGCTCACCACCACCACCTATCTCTCTACCAATTTCTCCTCTTTGCCGGCCGCCGGATCAGACCCCTACAACAAGTTCACGCCCAAATCATCCTCTCCGGCAAAACCACCTCCCTCCCGCTTCTCACCAAACTCCTCACATCCGCCTGTGCCGGCGACTCAATCCTCTACGTCCGCCAACTCCTCTTCTCCATCGCCAACCCTGATTCCTTCCTCTTCAGTTCCCTTATTAAAACCTCCACTCACCACAATTTTCCTCTTCATTCCGTCATCTTTTATCGACACATGTTAGTCTGTAATGCACCATGGTCAAACCACGCTTTTACGGCTGTGATAAAAGCATGCGCTAATTTATCAGCTCTGGGACTTGGAAGGATTGTTCATTGTCACGTATTGATTTCTGGGTATGGATTGGATTCCTTTGTTCAAGCTGCTTTGGTTAGTTTTTATGCCAAGTGCAATGAATTGGGTGTCGCCAGAAAAGTGTTCGATGAAATGCCCCATAGAACTTTGGTTGCCTGGAACTCCATGATATCTGGGTACGAGCAATACGGGCTTGCCAAAGAAGCTATCGGCTTGTTTTCTAGGATGCGGAATTCCCTCGTCGAGTTTGATTCAGTGACTCTGGTGAGTGTGTTATCTGCTTGTTCTCAGCTCGGTGCTCTCAGTTTGGGTCGCTGGATTCACAACTATATTGATCGTAGTGATTTCCATGTAAATACGACAATTGCTACTTCATTAATCAACATGTATGGCAGGTGTGGAGATGTAATCAAAGCAAGAGAAGTTTTTGACTCCCTGACTCAACAGAATGTTATAACTTGGACCGCCATGATATCTAGCTACGGCATGCACGGTTATGGTCGGGAGGCACTCGAAGTCTTTCAACTTATGAAACTCCACGGCCCATCTCCCAATCGTGTAACATTTATTGCTGTTCTATCGGCATGTGCCCATTCTGGACTAGTATCCGAAGGCCGGCTAGCTTATGCCAGCATGACTCAAGATTACGGCATAGTGCCCATAATGGAGCATCATGTTTCCATGGTCGATATGCTGGGCCGTGCCGGACTACTCAACGAAGCATATCAACACATTCAAGATATGAATCCTATCAAGCCTGGAGCAGCTGTGTGGACAGCAATGCTTGGAGCTTGCAAGATGCACAAAAATGTCGATCTTGGTGTAGTAGCAGCCGAGAATCTGTTAGCTGTAGAACCCCAGCATCCTGGCCACTATGTTCTACTCTCGAACATATATGCAATGGCGGGCCGAATGGATCGAGTGGAAATGGTTAGAAATGTGATGATTCAAAAGGGGTTAAAGAAACAGGTTGGATATGCCACCATAGAAGTTGATGAAAAGACGATCTTGTTTAGTATGGGCGACAAATCTCACCCTGAAACAGCAACGATTTACGGGTATTTAGATGAGTTGATGGAGAGGTGCAGGGAGGTAGGTTATATACCGGTATCGGAATCTGTAATGCACGAGTTAGAAGAGGAAGAGAGGGTGTATGCTCTTAGATACCATAGCGAGAAGCTTGCGCTAGCATTTGGGCTTTTGAAAACAGAGAATGGATCGATTATAAGGATTGTGAAGAACCTTCGGGTGTGCGAAGATTGCCACACGGCAATCAAGTTCATTTCGGTTGTGACCAAACGGAAGATTGTGGTTCGCGATAAGCTTCGGTTTCATCATTTTGAAGGTGGATCTTGCTCATGTTTGGACTACTGGTGATGGGTTTTCTCAAAAAAGCACTCGCATGGACTGTTTTACAGGTACAAATTTGGTGATTCTTGTAAACTAAAGGTCACGATGAAATCATTCAAAATTGAAATAATGATAAATGACCAAAATACCTTTTAGTCTTGTATTCAAACGTTACTTTTGTCTTTTAAACACAAAATCGAGAAGGGTAGGATTGTCCTCCTCAAAAAAATAGGATGGATTGGCTTTTAAATTCCTTGTAATGTAATTTGGTCAGCGGAATCGACTTTCCAATTTCAATCAGAACCCAACAAACCAAATGCCCCTTAAGAAAAAATCGATTGTGCGATATCTAAAAACGGAGACAGTCTGAATGTAATTATTTAACTTAAAGATACAACAGTTTTGAGTGGGAAAAATGAACCACTTCAATCTCAAAACTAACAAATTCTAACCACTAGAGAACAAGTAAAGAAAGGTAAACCGTAAAAATTGTCTTAAAGGAAGTAGTTACCTCCCAATCCCAACTAGTAAATTTCATCATCAGGTATCTCAGGATTTAAGAATTTTGCAGGATCTTTGCTAATTGCATCGTAACTGAGGGTAGGTTTAACTCGATCTGGGACGGGCTCAAGTGGGATGATGCTATCTTCATCTATAACCCCATCTATTATTCCATATTCAACTGCTTCAATAGGAGACATATATCGATCCCTATCAATGTCTTTCTGAACTTGTTCATAAGACCGACCAGTGGATTCTGCTATGATTTTGGTCACGTTGTCCTTGTTATGCATCATTTCTCGGGCTTGAATTTCAACATCTATTGCTTGCCCGCTAGCACCCCCAAGTGGTTGGTGGATCATAATTCTTGTATTAGGCATTGCAAGACGCTTACCTTTAGTTCCACCTCCAAGAATTATGGAAGCCGTTGACGCTGATATGCCCAGTGCAATTGTTGACACATCAGCCCTCACTAACTTCAAAACATCATAAATGGCCATCGAAGAGCTGTTTCACAAAATATGAAAATTCGAATCAAGAGATGGCTTACTTTGGTTAAGAATTAGGAGAATTATACATCTTTAATCGGGCTAAATAGTTATAAAGATTCCAAGGACAGAGGAGAAAGGTGCACTTATCAACCTTTTTGCTGTTTTCTCTTTGAGAACTTAACATGGGTCATGAGAGGATTATCTAAGGACGTCACTTGAAATCTGATCAAAAACCAATTTTATTGACCAATTTCCAATTAAATTGTTAAATTTTGACTAATCAAACCAATAAATCATTTTTGCAAGTTTCCCTCTTGATGCAATTTCCTGGTTCCTCTGGTCATTCTTCTCAACCCCCCAATGCAAAAATAGTTAGATAAATAAATCTCTAAAGAACTACATGAGCACTTAATGAGGAGTTGAGATTCTATGTACAAAGTTACCTGATAAACAAATCTCTATAGACATAAGACCCTCAAACCGAGGGTTAATTGCATCTGAGAGCAAAGGTACTTATGGTAGACCAGGCAACTTAGCACTTACAACTTTCTCTTCCTTCATTATCACTATCATACCCTTACCTCCATGAGTTCTTTCAAAACCTCTACCATCCACATATGATCTTTCAAAACCCTTACTATGCTAAGCAGTTAATGAGGTCGATTGCGGAAATCAAGGTCGGGACCGTGATTTGAAATTGCAGTTATCGCGGTGGTATAGTAGTAAAAAATTAGGTTCATAAAATACATAAGAATATACGTGTGTGTGTGTGTGACTTAATATATTGTATGCCTATAAAAATAAATACTTAATGCACAAACAACAAAACAATAACCAAGCTAAACTTAACTGGTTAAACAACAAAGTCAGAACCATTAGGGACTGAAACAGAAACCATCTAGAAAAGTGGCGTCAGATTCCAAAGTCCAAAAAATAGAACTCAGAAATGGTTACCTGATAGTAAGTGTTAGTGTTCACAAGTAGAAGCAATCAAAGATGAATAGTAGAAAATCAAACAGGACTATAGAATCGTTTTGGATTTTGGAATCGATGACCAAAGTTTTGGATGGTGGAACCATGGGATTGATAATCTGTTGCTTTTGTTGATAGGTCAACTAAGAGTCTAAATAGCCCACATAAGACAGAAGCCTACCCAAAGAATAATCCGTTTAAATTTAACAAAAAAGGTTCAAAACATCCCCAAAAAAAAATCGGTAATTGTGGTTGCTATTTGGGGTTCAAAATGCGGTGATTAGCAGTAATCGCGGCCGCTGTTTGCAGTATCTTTATAATGCACCGCTATTTTGTGTACCACACCACTAACCACGATCACACGCAATTAACTGCATAGAATACTATGTAATAACTATACCTATACCCAAGTTGGGAGCAGAGAAAAATATTATCTTAGAGGGTTTACTAATTTACCAGATATTAACTTAAAGAGATTCTACTGTATGTATGAGGACACAAGCAGAGTTCAAAATATAAACTTGTATATCAGGAAAAAACAAAAAGATTGTCACAATTTCAAGAAAAATTCTCAACCTGGTGTAACTTTTACTTAATGCATAATTATTTTAAAATTTCCATAAGGGTACAAGAGATTCTACAGTCATTAGTCATTACATAAGATATCAAGACAATCAACTTATCTTGACCTCTAGTCTCCATTACTTGGGGTATATAATTGCTTAACAACTCATTTTTCCCTTGTTCCTTGTCTAGTTATCATAACTTTTCTCCATTGGAAAAAAAAATCAATATGTTTCAGAAGGGATAATATGTTTAGAATATCCAAGGACTCATCAACAAAATTCACACATATTTGCAAAGTCCCCATGGAAATATGGTATGCTGTTAACTATGCAATGATTCAAACTTTCTCAAATCAGTTAAAAGTCATTTCATGGTATGGAGATCACTGAAGGATCAAAAGAAAGTAACAAGTAGGAAAACACCTAAACAATAAGCCCGACTAAAATAATAGAAGTATAAGCTTCCTGTGAAAAATCACATGCTATAAACAATTTGCATTTATCATCCTTTTCATACATACAGATACAAATGTGCATTTTGTTAAAGAAGTAGCTCAATTTGTAGGCTAGAAATTGATTTATTTTCCCCTTAACCCTCTGGCAAAACTCCCACATAAACCACCCTATTCCTACTCTCCCATTCCTTCCTTAATACTTGCCTACAACCTTTGGCTTACAAAATGATTAATCCCAATGATCATCAACCAGCAACTCCACCCACTAGTTAGTGAATGATCTATGATATAGATGGATAACAGATTATCTCAGCCTTTTTCTTAATAGACTTATTGTTTGATTTTATGGCTTCAGCTATGATTCATTAACCCTTCAAGATGAATGATGTTCATGGACCAAAACATCAAAGCATACCAATAGATTTCTCAAAGAAAAGTTCATAGTGTGCAAGCATGTAATTTTATGTTGGCCACTTTACACCTCCAATCATCTACTTTAAAATATGAAAAAACGCCTCCAATTTTCATGCTTACATTCAATCCACCTAGTGATTTCAAACCCTCCAAAAACCTCATACAAGAGTTCAACAGATAGTGAACACCACAACGCATGATATCCGAATTGGTAAGGGAACATTTATGTATAAATCGGAGACAGAGATACACTTTGAATTTTGATATCAAACAAATTAGTACGAGTTACCTGAGAGAACCACCGGTTGAATTGATAAAAAGCCTGATATCTCTTGTAGGGTCTTGAGCATCCAACAAAAGCAACTGACTGATTATAGCATCAGCAACGAAATCATCAATCTGAGTACCTAAGAACACAATCCTTTCTCTTAACAGCAGCCCCATGGCGTCGGATTCGGCGCCTCTCATCGCTGTCCCCGGAGTCTGAGGCGAAGAAGCCGAAAAACCGAGGTTTTGTTTGAAGTCAAATCCTAGGGTTTGAGGAGAGGAGTGAATGGAGCATTTGATGGATTGTTGCGGCGGTGGTATACGACGGAGAGAGAAGGATTGAGTAGGTTTAGTGGGAAGAAAGTGGCGGAGATTGGAGGAGGGATAGAAAGAGGAAGGGGTAGTGAAGGAGAGCAACTCCATTGTAGATGGATAATGGCGATGTTGGTTCCTTCTTCCCTTTCTGAAGAGGATTGTGTTTTCTTTCAAGTGCCAAACCCCAATATCTAATTTTATATTTATAAAATATAAACACCAAGTTTTATAGAAATTTAGTTGTAAAACTTCACAATCCAGGGGTGTTTATTGTTTATTTGAAACAATTTATGTTTTTTTATAAAAGTATTTATCAATTTATTATAAATTAAAATAGTTTAATTTTATCAAAAACTCCTTATTACCGGTTTGATATCGGTATAATTTGTTTATCCAAACACTTAAAAATGTTTATTACCGATGTCACACCAAAATAAGTCAATAAATTGTTTTTATAAGCAATCCCAAACATCCCTAAATAATCCATCTAAAACCGAAATGATTTTATGGTTTTGGGTAACTTTTGTATTATTTTGGTTCAATCGAGTAACATATCATATCATATTACCCACCCGTCCTAAAATAAATATCCTCAATGAAAAAGAGACAAATTTTTTAATATGTAATTATTACACTTTTTAATTAATAAAATGATAATTTTACCTTTAATTATAAATAGAGAATTTTCTCTCTTTCATAATTAAGAGTAGAAAGGTAAAGTAAACATTTACTTTTAAAAGTAAATATTTATTTTAAGACAAACTAAAATAGTAATATAAATATTTATTTTACTGTCTCATTGATTTGGAGTTTCTTAAAAACTATAGATTGCTTCATATATTTTTACATTATTTGGAAATAAGCGGTAGGCATGGGAATATGCAGGGACTCCAATCCCCGTGCTTGTCTTGATCCCCATCTCTATCGGGAAATATGATTACAAAACCATCATCGTCCCCAACGGGGAACCAGGATCCTCAATAGAGAATCATGATATTTTTCATGTTAATATAAAATATTTTAAATCAAATGGGTTAAAATATTACAATAAATATCCATGTTTAAAACTCATATTCTCAAATTTTGCTTCTATAAAGTATCAAACATTTATATATGAACAAAATCACATCAAATACGTAATTATTTGATCAAACACTTTCTACTTTCAACGTTTTTTATCCTAGGTTGAAACCGAACCAGCCGAGGAGAAATGTGGAGCGGCTAAGGTTAAATGGTCAAACCAGCAAAGTGAAGAAGGTGTAGGCGTGTCTTTTTCGGGGCTGAATGTAGACAACATAGCACTTCCATTAAGGAGGTGTTTTATGAATTAGGGGAACGTTTACCAAACAATTACCGGGTAAACGATTATCAACAAATGTCACCACTTTTACTTACCATATGATGTAATATTCCGGCCATCAAAACCAATTGATGGTAAACGTTTATAACCCAAGCATTTGCAGGCAAGGGGTCATCACTCTCACTTACTAAGTAAGACTTTGTCTTCCCTCTTAACGGATAAGATTATCGATCCATGTTATATGCATCCTATAAGATAATTGAACCAGTAGACGCTTACCAAGGTAAGTGTACAAGTAGTGAATATGTAAACGATGTCACAATTCATCCATGTAAACTACTCATCAAACCTTTTTTTTGAAGAATAATGCAAATTTCACAACTCATACCATTCTCGGAACCAATAAGTCTTTATAACCAAAATGGTAGAACAACATTCAGAAAACAAAAAATTGCAATTTTAGTAAGCCAAAACTTGAATACCAGCTGACCACAGAAAGATTGCATCTAAAGATCCTGCACGCTCAAGCCTGCAATCATTAAGAACCAAGCAGTGTAAATTAAACCTTTTCCAAAATCATACAAAAATCAAATGTTGGTTTAATAAGCAAATAATTGAAATGAAAAGTAAGAATATGCCTGGAGGAAGAGATTGCTTCAACTTATTGGCCTTCTCGGCATCAAAGACACATAAAGTGTAGAGGTACTTTGAGCACCGAACTTTGAACTTGACAACATCCTTGCTCCTCTTGATTTTCACTGACCGTGCATCCTTYCTTCTTGCCGTAAGAAGGAAATCCTTAATCTCATGAATTTGCTTAGGCTGAGTATAAAACCAACAAAAGATATCAAGAATTATATATATGAAAGACAGCAAGCAAACTGCATATCATAACAACCAACAATATCCAATTAAACGACAGATTATCATATTTCTAACGAGTCAAATTATTCCTAAAACATATATACGTATATGCAATTGTCATATTTCAGGGAAACAAAGGCATTCAGAGAAGGTGCTTCCGATTGTAAAAGCAACAAATGCTTGCTACGAGTAACTTCCTGATTCTCAATTAATCTAGTTCTAATGGTAGAACCATGACTTGTTATCTAAATGCATAAAGAGAAATGGCATGAAGATGAACACCATCAATCAAGTAAACAAGAATGTCGATGCAAATGTAAATATTGACAACGTCATCCTCAAAAGCAAATGAACCATGTTCAAAAAACTATACACGTATCGTTTCCAAATCATTCCAGAGAACGCCATGAATGCATATGCATAAAAGGATGTATCAATACAAACAAAAATACCCATTAGCAATACTGACATTTCCTTCTTCATGCTACTATCTTATACACTCTGTTCGATTAAGCATTCCCCAAGCATAAAAGTACATTTCTGTGTAACAAAAATGGCTAGAAATTATATGTTGGTAGGCAAATCCACGACCATTTCCGCTTGATTAACAACAAAAGTGCAAGTTTATCACTGCGACACATTGACGCACATGTTCAAAATTGGTTCAGATCTAACAAGCCGAATTCAGATAATCATACAGCATGCCCTTAACTAATTTCATCGATTCTTAGGCTCGTGAAGATAAATACTAGAGCAATGACATCAAATCTATACAACCTCACAGGAACTGATCATGCAAAATTCAATAAATATTCATCCGCACATGAAGAACCAAAATCATATATGTATAAAACGGTAACTTGCGACTCCAGATCATGGACCGAAACAATCAGATATATTATAGCGGAGATACAACACAACACAATACTTAGAACAAATTAAACGTTACGACAGAGAAGGAGAGGATACCATTTTGGTACGACGGCCGAGGAGGAAGTGAGACTCTGAAACCCTAGGGCTGGAGTTGGAGAAGGAAGGTTTTTATCAGGTTTTTCACATATTTATGCTTATGGATTGGGCCTCATCCAGAATCGGCCCATTATCTTCATACAACATTCTATTCGGAGCTCCGTTAAGATAAAAATTCAAAAAAAAAACAAAAACTAAAATATATACTGGTTGGATTAAAAAAATTAATTATGTGATATTAAATAAGGCAAACGATCGTGTAAGAAAAAAAAATTATGGTGAAAATCGTAAAAATAAATCTGAACTTTTGATTATTTTTAATCTCATGTCGACTCACGAATTACGCTTTAAAAAGGAATTGATCTGGTGTATCTCGGTACACCTCATTAATGTGACATTCGATTGAATGATCGAGATCTCTTCTTACGCTTTTCATCGTAACTTCACTTCTCACCATAACTCAACCCTACTAAATAATATAATATTATTCATTGGTGACGGTAGTGGTGGTATGGTGACGGCAGAGACATAGGTATTGGTGGTGGTGATGGTATGTGTAACATCCCGTCCCACATCGGTTGGTGAGGAGAACTAAGCACTCCTTATAAGGGTGTGGATACCTCATCCTAGCATGACCGGTTTTGGGGCTTGCGTTGTGCGGCTGCCAGAAACAAAACCGTGCGACTACTGCTTTGTGGTATAGCGGGCAGGTTAGTCAAAGCGGACAATATCATTGCTACGGGGTTCTGGGGGCGTTACAAATGGTATCAGAGCCAGACCCGGATCGATGTGGCCCAACGAGGACGTTGTGTCCTAACGGGGGGAGGGTGTAACATCCCATCCCACACATCCCGTCCCACATCGGTTGGTGAGGAGAATTAAGCACTCCTTATAAGGGTGTGGATACCTCATCCTAGCATGACCGGTTTTGGGGCTTGCGTTGTGCGGCTGCCAGAAACAAAACCGTGCGACTACTGCTTTGTGGTATAGCGGGCAGGTTAGTCAAAGCGGACAATATCTTTGCTACGGGGTTCTGGGGGCGTTACAGTATGATGCATGGCGACGTTCGTGTTGCTGATGGTGGTGGTGATGATGATGGAGGTCACAAGGAAGGTTTTTTCATCGCTTATTTGAACATTATAGAAAATTTCTCGTAACAAAAAAAAAAATTCATTTTGTTTATAATTGTTCAAACTTTTGATTAACCATTTCACCTCGCTAGAGCATCTCTAACAGTTATGCTATAATATATCTATTATAATGCTTTATGGGGCGTTACGGCACGTTGTCGTGCATTACAAAGTGTTATTTTGTAAGGTGTAGGGCTACTTTACTATAACTTGAGAGATAAATGACAATAATTATGTACGAGACCTATGATTTAAATAAACATAAAAATGAAACTTAAATAAGGTAAACCTTAAATAGGTAAATATTTATTCACATTCCCGTGGACGAAAAGTCAAAATTGAATTCGTTGAAAATTAAATAAAGTAGTGAGTAGAGATTTAATCCTAATTTTTCACTTTTGGTATCATTTTTATAAGCTCTATATATTTGGTATTAATTGTTTCATTTGTTCTACATTATTATTCAAATTACTAACACATACGAATGTGGATGGGTGTGCAGTGACGGATCTAGAAACTTAGGTCATTGGAGGCTCTAGAGGTATAAAAAAACCTGAACCCAAATAACTTACCAGTACAAAAACAGTTTTGGGTTAGTCGGTTTATGAGTTAAACGGTTTGATCAACTGAATAAGGTAAGTTTCAATTTCAATTTTCTTACCATTTCAGTTAATGCAATGCAATACAAACTATACTATTATTTTATATAATTTTTTTTGTAGATGAATTGTTTTGAGCAAATATAAAATAAACATTAAACCAAAAGAACAAGAAAGTGAGATATATAAAGAAAAACAAAACCATCAACCAACGTTGACATTTTAGTATGATTGTAAGAAATCTCAACACTAGAATTATTGGCTTAGAGTAGTAGATATGATTCTGAAGATGTAGAACTCCAACAAATGGGATGAGAACATTGTGCGTGGGGAGACAACGATCAAGCGAGGGAATGGGGGTATCGTCAAACACGATATCAGAAACCAAGTTCAAACATGAAGGAAAAACAGTAGCGTTGAATGTTTGAACCAGCAGAGTGAAGGAAAAAGGGTATGTGCGTCTTTTTTGGGGCTGAACATCCGTTCAACTTATTATGCTCATTAAGTTATAAGTAAACACCTCCTTAATCGCTAATCCATGGAAAGTAATTTGTATCCAAGTCAAAAAATTTAACCTTTTCTCGAACATGTGTCTTTTTGTATGTTGAATAAAATCTTCTAATGGCAAAAATCATGTTTAATGACTTAACGATATCAATAACTAAGGGACAGTTTATCAAACACTTACAAGGTAAGTGTTATCAGCAAAGATTCGTCACTCTCACTTACCGGGTAAACTCAGGCGGCGTTTGTTTTTTAAAAGGTGCTTAAGTCTGAAATCTGATTTCACTTCTGATTTTTAAGAGGTGGTGCTGAAATCTGATTTCACTTCTGATTTTTAAGAGGTGGTGCTGAAATCTGATTTCACTTTTGATTTTTAAGAGGTGGTGCTGAAGTCTGAAATCATATTCCACTTCTGATTTTTAAGAGGTGGTGCTGAAGTCTGAAATCTGAATCAGTCAGACTGTTTGTTTTTATAAACTGACAAATGTCTAAAGTCTGAAATCTGAATCAATATTTTGCTTTTGTAACCAACAAACATATGAATATGTATAATTTCTGATTTCACTTCTTTTTATATTCCCAAGATTCCTTTAATTCTTCTTTCCCTTCCGGATCAAGCCTTACATCCTCAATCTACACTCTCATCCCACCACCGTCCACCACCACTCCTTCTCTAAAATTCAACTCCCAAATCCACCTCTTAAATCGAAGCAAATCTCCATCATGATGAAAACTATAGGGACAAAAATACCTTGATTCACGAGGATAAAGGTGAACAACTACTGGTTTACACAAGAACGAAAACACACAGTGGCGAAAACCCACAGGAAAGAAAACCTTGTTGATTTGGATCTAATTTGAGTCGATTTGAAGCCACCATAAGCGATGGAGGGTGAAGTCGATTGATTGAGACGGGGTGAAGGGTGAAGTCGATCGAATAATGAAGTAAAATTCGGTTATCTGGATAGTCATCAGGATTAAGAGGAAAATAAGTGGTTAGGTTATCACTTAAGTTTTAAGTGGAAAATAAGGGATAAATGGATCTGAAAAAAACAAAAAAACAAACAGTCTGAGTTGCCTTATGTCTGACCGAATCAGACATAAATGGTAAAATAAGAGCTTTTTTTTTTTAAAACAAACACCACCTCAATCTTTGTTTTTCCTCTTAACGGGTAACATTTTCGGTCTTTATTATATTCATCTTATAAGGTAATTGACCGGTAAGCTTTCAGAAAACGGCCCCAAGCCATTTCAAGCAGTGAATATGTAATAGATGTCACAATTCATCCATGTAAACTATCCATCAAACCTTGTTTAAGAACAATGCAAATTTCACATCAACTCGTACCAACAAGTCTTATAACCAAAATGGTAACATATCCATACAAAGCCGTAAACTAACGATAGAATAACATTCAGAAAAGAAAAAAATTGCAATTTTAGTAAGCCAAAACTTGAATACCAGCTGACCACAGAAAGATTACATCTAAAGATCCTGCACGCTCAAGCCTGCAATCATCAAGAACCAAGCAGTGTAAACTAAACCTTTTCCAAAATCATACAAAACTCAAATTGTTGGTTTAATAAGCAAATAATCGAAATGAAAAGTGAGAATATACCTGGAGGAAGAGATTGCTTCAACTTATTGGCCTTCTCGGCATCAAAGACACATAAAGTGTAGAGGTACTTTGAGCACCGAACTTTGAACTTGACAACATCCTTGCTCCTCTTGATTTTCACTGACCGTGCATCCTTTCTTCTTGCCGTAAGAAGGAAATCCTTAATCTCATGAATTTGCTTAGGCTGAGTATAAAACCAACAAAAGATATCAAGAATTATATACATGAAAGACAGCAAGCAAACTGCATATCATAACAACCAACAATATCCAATTAAACGACAGATTCTCGTATTTCTAACGAGTCAAATTATTCCTAAAACATATATACGTATGCAATTGTCATATTTCAGGGAAACAAATGCTTGCTATGATTAGCTTCCTAATTCTCAATTCATCTAGTTCGAATGGTAGAGCCACAACTTGTCATCTACATGGCATGAAGATGAACACCATCAATAAGTAAACAAGAATGTTGATGGGTATGTAAATATTGACAACATCTTCCTCAAAACAATATAAACCATGTTCAAAAAACTATACACATATGAGTTTCCAAATCATTCCAGAGAACGCCATGAACGCAAATGCATAAAAGGGTGTATCAATACAAACAAAAATAGTGACATATACTTCTTCATGCTACTATCTTATACACTATGTTCGATTATGCATTCAGCAAGCATACAAGTACATTTCTGTGTAACAAAAAATGACTAGAAATTTTCTGTTGGTAAGCAAATCCATGGCCATTAACCACAAAAGTGCAAGTTTATCCCAAAGCTCATTGCGACACATAATAATAGTTGTAATTCAGAGAGCATGCTCTTAACCAATTTCATCGACTCATGAGCTCGTGAAGATAAACACTAGAGCAATGATATCAAATCTAACGAAAACAACCTAACCGATTGTGCAAAATTCAAAAATCAAATCAGATACGAGGTTTAAAGATCACCGCAAATCAAAACATATTCATCCGCACATGAAGAACCAAAATCATATATGCATAAAATAAATACCCAGAGGATCATAGACCGAAACAATCAGACATATTATAAACACAACACAACCTTTTAGCTTCAATCCTTGGAACAAATTAAACATTACGATAGAGAACGAGAAGATACCATTTTCGAGACGGCAGAGGAGCAAGTGAGATTCTGAAACCCTAGGGTAGGGTTGGAGAAGGAAGGTTTTTATCAGGTTTTTGGGTAAACTAATCTGGGCCAAAAAGCCCAACATCGGGAGCTCTTTTAATTAATACAGGATTTCTTTAAATAATTTTAGTATATTAAAAGGTAATCGTAAAATGCAGCGAGATAAATAATAATTTTAATGTTTAGTTTTATTTTTTGTCTCTATCGATATAATACAATTTTATGTGTTTTTAAGAAAGAGATAATATTTTTATTTTTGAATGAAATATAAATTTGAAAAAAATAAATCGATATTAGTATTAAATTAATTATTTAATAGTTCTCGTTTCTTTGGTGTAACTTTTCTAATTTAATTTTTTTCTTATAAGTTAATTTAGATTTAATAATAAAGTAATTTATTTTTAGTTTAATAATATAATATTTATAAAGATAAGAATTAAACATTATGTTATAACTCAATGATTATCTTAATTATATTTTAGATTTTCTATATTTAAAATGGACGTTTATCATGTATTTGATTATGTTTATCAGCAGTTAGTTACACAAATTTAAAAATCGAGCTTTAATAAGTTGTACTTACGTAAAATTAGTTGTATGCTTAAATGTTAAATAATATTTATCAATAAACAGTATTTCATGTATAAAAATGATTTTTAAGAGTTTTTGACAAATGTTTTACAATATAGTATAGATTAATTTTGGTTTAATAATATTATTATTTTATAAAAATAATAATTAAACATTCTGTTAAAACTTAATGATATTTCAATTATATTTTTAGATTTTCTATATTTAAAATGGATGTTTATCATTATTTGATTATGTTTATCAGCAGTTAGTTACACGAATTTAAAAATGGAGCTTTAATATGTTATACTTAGATAAAATTACTTGTAATCTTAAATTTTAAGTAATATATATCAATAAACAGTATTTCATACATAAAAAATGGTTTTTAAGAGTTTTTATCAAATGATTTTTAATATAGTATATATATACTATATTAAAAAGCATTTGACAAAAAACCTCTTAAAAACCATATATATATATATATATATATATATATATATATATACTAGAAACGTACTCGCGCAATGCAGCGAGATACATCGTGATTTTAATTTTTCATTTTATTATTTATCTCAGCTGATGTTATAATATGACTTTATGTGATTTTGAAAAAACGATGATGTTTTTA